CATGGGACTGTGCTAACCGAAGAACAGCAAACGCCCACCGCGAGCACGGCCAGTGTGTGACGATGTGGCCAGCAGGTTAGGAGGAGGCAGATCTCGTCTGAGACTCGTTCACACCGGGCTGCCCGCGACTGGAACGTTTACACATACTGGCAAATACGCACGTTTTAAACCATCCTCCCTGTGGTGGATTTCCAGATAAGTGTGGGACACTGAGGGAACATTTCAGGGACAGAACTTCGCACGGCCCAAGCCTTTTCTCCCATGCAGGGGCAGATGCAAGGGTGGACGACTGGGGGTGAAGGTCTGCAAAGTCGTTCATTTATGTCCAGGAATCGGACATCTCCAGACTCTAGACTGTTTTCCCAGTCACCCTTTGCCCTCTGAACTTGGTTTACTCCCCTTCCTGGTGGCCACTCTTCTGAAGTTCACGCATGTTTCAGTCTGAGAACTAACACGCAAGAGGAGCTCCTGACCTCAGGGAAACGTTTTCAAATTACTTTCAGGGGAGGAGCTAAGCCAATTAGACGGTTATGTGTTGTGTAACCACACTCATAAAACATGAAATGGCTTGAATTAGGTTAACATGGGACAAATGGCTGGAAGACTTTTCAACATTCCTAATTTGGTTCTACGGGGTGGAACACATTAACGATTTCTTCAGAAATATTTTTGGTGAGCAAGATAGAATGGAATTGCTGTTCATGTATCAGGCTTATATTAGTGTTTGGGAGATAACCCCAGATAAAAGGAAAATTATCATGGGATAAGAGTAATGAAATAAGTATTAATAAGTTCTTAACCATGGAAGAGCTAAGGACAACTTTCATAAGTGGGAGACACCAATGTCAGATGAGGAGGAAGAGGAGGGAAATAGCTTTGATAAACACAGCCAATTAGAAAGTACTGCGGTTCTAAGTGACAGCACGCTCTGTCTGGTCTGGCCTGGCCTGGAGTCCCTCTGCACCCCAGGTGAACCCACCCGCCCCCCTCCCTCCCCACTATCCTGCCTCTCCTCACACAGCCCAGGGGAATCCAGCAGTGTCTGTGCTCAGGTCAGCATTCTCTCTTCCAACCTTAGTGGCTGATGGCCAGCGTGGGAGAAGGATCACGACGCAGCGTGGCAGGATTGCGCCACTGAAGATGCACGTTCTCAGCATTCAGCTGGCCTCATGGTTTCACTTCATTCTTCTAATTGTCTTTGGGGAGAATTTTCTTTTTTTCTTTTTTGAATTTGTTTTAAAATTAAGAATCGTATCTATTTAAGACTTGTCTTTTTCACCTCAAGATACCCCTCACGTGTGCTAGCAGGCCACTCTGTATCCTACTTCTTCAAGAAAGTTGAGGGCAGCAGGCCCAGTCACCCCCAAATGCCTGTCCCCAAACGTTAGAGGTATCTCTAGTGTTTCCATAGCTTCCTTTCTTTTTCTTGGCTCAGAACTTAAATTCTTGGCTCCCGGCTTATCTGCTCCACATACTCCCCTTAATTCATGTCACGAGCACTCTTTGGATTCTTTGCCTGTTTCTCTGACTCTCCAGTCCTGCTCTCCAGTTCTGCCCTTCCTCAGGCCGCAGAGACAAGAACCTCATTGCCTCTGGGGAATCATCACTGTTCCTCTCGTGTCTCCAATGACATCATCATTTACCTCTTTAGTCCCTGCCTTTGCTGTACTTCGCTGTGGCTGGTGGGGGCTGTCACCAGTTATCAAAACTCAGAAGTTCTGTCTTTTCCATCACCTTCTCTATCCCTGGAAGTCTTGCCAATTTCCGTTCATGAGTATTTCTCCATTCTACTCACTTTTCCTCTTCTGCTGCTGCTCCGGTCCGATCCCTCGCTCTCACCTAGACAACTCAGTAGCCTCCAAAAGCATCTCTAGTCTCAAGTCTTGTCCCTCTTAAATCTGTCCTCCACCCTGGGGTCTGGGCCCTCACCTTTAAAGGGAAATTTGTCTGGCTTCGTCGCTTTTAGTGCCTTGCCATTGCCCACATAAGAAATCCATGAATGCTACCAGCACACACAGAGCCCTCCCTCTCAGACTGCCATTGCCAGCTGTGCCTTGCACGTCACGATCCAGAAACAGAATGGCCTGTGGTCTCCACACTCACTGTGCCGTTTCTAACCACCTTTCAATTTTATATCGTCCCTCTCTGGCCAACTCGTATTTTGACAACAAAAATATTCTCCCCAGGACACCCTTCCCAATTCTCCAGACCATGTGCAGTTCCCCTCTGCATTTCCAGGATGCTTTTTGTTAACTAACCGTTAAGAGTTCCTTTTATTATGTTCTGCCTGAATGAATTAGAGTTGTTATACAGTTGATTTCTCCACTTCTGGTGACTAGCCAGCTCTGCACATCAGTAAGCTAGCCTTCTGATGTGAGGACGTCATGGGCATTCAGTAACTCCGCATTTCATGTGATTACGTACGTTACTCACATGAAATCTCACTGACCTGGATGGTAACAACCTTTCCAGATGTCTTCCTCAGCAGTCCCTCGGGTCCCTCCAGAGTGGTGAATTTGTCTCATTCATTTACATACTCCAGTATCTGACAGCGTAACTGTTTCAAACAGTTGCTCCATAATAATTTGTTGAATTAATGAAATACTCTTCCTCCCCCATTTCAAGGTAATACCCTTCTGTCTTTATGACAAGGATTGCTAATTTCAAGCTTTTAGCCCGGTTGTTTGGTAGTCAAGGAATATAAAACTGTTTCCTAATGGAACGAAAATGGTAACATCCACAAACCATGTTCTTCCATCCACCTCCTGAATATAAATAAGCCTAACATCATTAAAAGGGATGTCATGACTCGAGAGGCCTCCACCTGAAACTGGGACTTGACTTTGGTTTTATTGGCTCTGCTAGGCTGTGGGCTGAATAGAAATACATGCCTAATCCTTTGAATCCACTTATTATTTCTTCACAAATGCAATTTGTAGTGGCCTTCCTGAAAATGTTTTAGAACAGGATATAGCATCTTATTCTTTTTAATTTTCCCTTTAAAATAGCCAAGGAAATCTAAAAAGCAGAGAGAGAAAACTCAGGGCAGCTCTGGCAGAAAAATCAGAACCATCAGAGGCTAGCATCAGGGAAGGCTATGGTAAGAGGTGAACTTGCAGTCAGAGGCAGATTCTTCACCAGCCACAGCGCAATGCCAACCCCAGCAGCTGCTGGCTGGCACAGGGCCACACTCCAGGGCAGGGCTTCTCCAGTTTCTTCATTCATACCTGCATTCGTACACTTTGCTTTCATTTATTACTGTGTCTTTCCTTTGCATCTAAACAAAACTACTTATTTTTTCCCCCAGAATAAGTTTGGACCATTCTCTCAGACATTACTTGATATGCAGAAATTTCTGCCTGGAATAAAGTTACTTGAAAGATGGCCCTAATCCTTCTTGCATTTGCCCTTGGATTGTAACTCAATGCCCCTGTTTCCTTCACTAAGTCTCAGATGGATCTCTCTTGCTCAGATAATTATTCTACATCTTTTTCTGGGTCTTCAGGCCTGGCCTCCTTGACGTTCTGACGTCTGCAAATCTATCTCACTCTCTCCCTTATGCTATTGCCTGCCACTTTTCTCTGAGTACTGGCTTTTTGATGCCTGGGTCAATTAAATCAGGATAATTTGTGAGATAAATGGAAAAACTCCTACATGTGCTCTTGCGTCTATATTTTCTCTCCATGAAAAATCACACTTGGCTCTTAGCCACTGGGTTGTTGCCTTTGCACAATGTGGCTGAGTCAGGGGAGCCTATTTCTGTCTTTCACTGACTCACATCTCAGCTGAGGGTGCTGGACTGGCACCTTCCCTCACTACCTACCAGGCCTTCCCCTGGATTTGGTGGGTGCGCTCCTGCGCGGCTTGCCGAGTCGGAACTGGTCGGAAGGTGACTAGGACTTCCGACAAGGTTGCTGACAACTTTCTCTTCTAATCCGTCTGAGCAATTTCCTGGCCTGCTCCTTTTTGCTGCCTCTCCACTAGATGTCCTTTGAAAGCATGGTAACCAGTCATGGCAAGTTTTTCTGACATATAGGAGACGAAACGTCGGCTAGCTAATTCTTAGGCTGAAATGATAATTATAACAATATGCAGGATGTGAATCTTGAATAATCCAACCAAATTCAGAGACCGAAACATGTTAGCAGGCAGCTTTTAAAAATGTTCCCGGTACCGTATGCTGTTCTGGATGATGTATCTGACTGCTCCAAGCGGCGCGATCACCCTGTAGTAATTATCCACATTTTACCCTCCTTCTCCTAGAAGGTGGCATGGTGGTGGAAACATGCTTTCTCAATTTCAACAACAACAGCAACTACTGTGATTTGCAGAATTTGCTGATTTCTGTGGTGTAAAGTTTCCTGCCATGGATGATGGCAAGCTATAAACAATTAACAACTTGCTCATAGAATTCCTGTGCATTTAACAATTGGTGCTTGGAGCCCACAGGAGCTGCCTCCCGGATAACCCTGGGTGTGGAACCCGACCTGAGATGCCCATCGTCTGTCTTACATGCAGCTGAGGGTTTGCCAACATCCATGGTCTCTTCAGAAACAAACTGGTCTCAGCAATGAGCATTTCCGGTGAATTGTCTCTGTAATTTGAATGTAACATGATGTCACAACATAAACAGGCTTTCCAATTTGTGCATTAGGCTTTATGTTTTCTGTATTTTGTTTCTACATTTATAGAACTGACAAAGAGAGAAGCCTGTATTTTCCACTAATGTCTACGACAAAGAGGTATTTTGCTTTTGTATCAATGCTGTGTGGAATATTCCACTTTAGTTAAAACAGCTGTTTTTCGGGCAGAGTGTCAACATGTGGCACACCCAGGCTAAACAGCCCGCTGGAGACTGCGTTTTTTAGGAGGAGCTTCTTACTTGGCAGTGCCAGCTGGGAGCTCCCAAGCTTGGGGTCCCCTCGCGGGGATGGGAGCATCCCACCAGTGCAGACAGATGTATAACCTGTGTCTGGGATTTTTTTTCCCTCTTGACCTAGTCAGAAGACTGAACATTTTGTAACTGCTTATAGAAAGTCCATCATCTTTATGCATCACTTCCTGAAAGATCCACTGAAGAGCAGCTTTCATGAACATTGCCGGGGCCTTGTGCTCCTTTAAAACGCACTGTTTTCCTCACTGCGAGGTGGGTCTCTCACACCGCGGGGGACTGACTGTCTGTGATCTCGGAGCACTTCTTCCCTGGGCCTTCCCTGGCACACTGACGGCATAGGTCTGTAGGGCAGGCGTGGGAGTAAACATGTTAATCTCTTTTGAATAAACTGATTTTGAAGTAGATGTCTCAAAAAGTTTGTCACAATACTTTCTGGGTAGTGACATTAATTTTCCCCACCCACAGTGGTAGTTTGGAGTATTGCTTATAAGCAGCGTGGCTTATTTAATAGTTTTATTCCCAATGCATTTCGGGCCACACACCTTCAACATATAGCCTGTCTGTGTGGGGGAGAATTCAAGTAAAACAGAGACAGCCACCCCTTCCCGCCAACCTGTCTCCAGTGACTCCAGAGAGAATGCAGCAGGTCAAAAGTACAGAACAATGCTCTGCACCTGAAATAAACAGGTAAGGCAGAGACAGGAGATGATTCAATTCCAATTTAGGTGTTGGGGACAGGTGTTGGGAACAGAAGGGCTGACCATCCTGGGGATATGAACTTAAGTGTTCTCTGCACCCCCTGCAATCCCTCACATTTTCCACAGGAGACTTGGTAGAGAGCTGCTGTCAGAGTCTGGGGCTTGGTCCATCCAGAGCTGGGCAGCATCACCTCCCATGCCCTGCCCAGTGCTGCCTTGGCTTAGGAGCTGGCATGGAACATGGGAAGCTCACAGCCCATTACTGCTCTTGGTGCACACACACACACGCACGCACGCACACATGCACGCACGCACACGCACACACGCGCACACACACACACACACACACCAGCAATGACTTCCACACATCAGTCACCCCAAACCCAATGCCCTGGACTCGCACCCGGCAGATGAGAGTGTGCTACGGTCTTCAGCTGCTTCGAGAACAGGCATAAACAGCAATAATCTTGAAACAGTGTCAGGAGAATGAAAGCGCAAGTGTGAGCCAGCCAAGAAGTCAGCTGTCAATATGAGAACAACTATGAGCAAAATCAGAGCGTGACAGCTTTCGGGGTATAGAGAAATTTTGAACTGTTCAGAGGAAGGTTAAAGAAAGAAACAGAAATGAAGCATAGTGAATTGAAAATGTAAGATAAGATGAAAGAAACAAATCTGCTATATGGGCAACTACAATTTGGGGAAGACCGAAGTGAGCGTGCATATCCCTGAGACTGGTGTGAGGAACGTGTGTGTGGAAGTGAATATGTGGATGGGGTACCAGGGGTGCACACAGAGCCGGGAGGGGAAGCCAGGGGGTAGGCCATGGGCAGGCTGCCCCCTTCACCCTCAGTCCCATATACCTCCTATCAGGGAAATTCAGGAGTCCCAAGCTCTGTAGAACTTTGCCTTCTACATCATTAGGAAGGCATCTCTACCAAGGAAGGAGAACTTTTTAAATGTACTTTTAAAGTTGTTTATTTAAACAATTTTTTACTTAACAAAGTTTGTGGGTTTGATTTATAAATTTTAAATGTTTGGACGTATGCGAGCATCTCTTTGAGCATCATGTGTGGGCTTGGCAGTGAGGGCCCTGAGGCATGGGCTGATCCTGGCCGTGCGGAGAGCAGAGCCAGCTGGCCTTGCTGGGGGACTGGAGCTGGGGAGTCAAAGAAAGGGGGGCCCACAGGCCCACCGTGGATGCAGTTGCCACCGCAAGGGACATGGAAGGCGGTGCGTGGAGCGGATTTGGGGAGGAGTGTTCAGGATTTCACTGTTGGGAATATTGATCATGAAACATCCACAGGAGCTGCCAAGCTGGCAGGTGGACATCGGGGCCCCCAGGTCAGGAGAGAGTCCCCGGCAGGCTTCCGTTCATGGACAGCAGCAGGCAGACAGAATTTACAGCCATCAGAGGAGGGGACAGCAGCAAGCGTGTGGCTGTAGACAGAGAAGAGGAGTGAGGACTGAGCCCCGGGATCTTCCAATGTTAGCCGGTAACTCCCTTTACACGTCACACATTTAGGTATTTGAGGTATATTTTCAAGGGTTTCTCCTGAGATGTCAGAGAAGATCTAACGCTATTCCAGCTAGCTGGAGTCTACTGAGATTTTTAAAGTCAAACTGCTTCTTTGATAAATCTCCTTGATTTCAACAAGGTTTTCTTAATTTTTTAAAACAAATCCAGATTTTTTTTGCACAAAATTAAAATTAAAGGGCGTTGCCTGGTGGCACCTTAAAGAGCCTCTTTGGTGAGTGTGCATATCAGCTTGCTGCTCGAGAGAGGGAAGTGGGGCTTCCAGATTGTAATAACACGCTGTCAACTCCGTAGCCACACTGCCTGTTTCATGTCACACTATCCACGCTGAGCGGGAAGTGACAGTAACTGCTCTCTTTTCCACAGCCACCCACGATGCATTGCGTGGTGAGCCCTCGTCCGCAGGTTTCTGCCAGGCATCTCTCTGCCCTGCGTCCTCTGGGCTCTCCCTGAAGTTGGGGGGACACCCAACCATCAGAAACTTTGAGGTGGTGAAGGGTAAAATGCCCAGGAAAATCCTCAACCAATGGGAAAGAAAATGCAGTGAATGAATTCCTTGGGGCCGGGAGCTATAGCTCACGCTTGTTATTCTAGCACTTTGGGAGGCCAAGGTAGGAGGAACACTTGAGGCCTTCGAGACCAGCCTGACCAACATGGTGAAACCCCTGGTCTCTGCAAAAAAAATGATAATGAAAAGTAAGTGCCCAGCTGCCTTTATACAGTGAGACATGCTCTGTGTGAATGGGGTCCCGGTGAATGGAGGCCTAGCTGTGCGCCCAGTAACGCGCTCATGGGCATACCCTATTCTGACTTTTCTCCTTTTTGTCTGACTTTTCCAGCCACCTCCTTGGATATCAGTCCCAAATAAAGTATCTGCTCAGGTATCTAAGGAAAATATTCCTGTTAAATAGCATAGGCTCAACTTCATTTGCACTCTCTGTAAGGACATTACGATATAGGTCGTGTGGAAGATTCTCAAATGAAAAGATCTCGTATTACTGTACTAGCTCCAGGCCTTTGTGTGGCTGCGTGCTGCACCCTAAATGTTCTTTCTCTAGATGGTTCATTTCCTCACTTCCCTTGCAATGGGAATTCAAGTGTCGCCTTCTGGTGAGGCCTGGCCAGCCCATCCTGGAGACCCACACACCTCACCCTCTGCCACTTCTTTTGTAATTTTTCCTCATAGCATCATCTGACATCCTATATGTTTTATTAGTGGTTTGCCTACAAAATGCAAAAGGACAGGGGTTTCACCTATTTTGTACACTGATATATCCACCTTTGCCCACAATAGACTTGGTACAAATAGGCACTGAAATATTTGTCAAAGCAAAATTTATAGGGCAATATTTGTTTAAAGGATATGGCCAGAAACATGCTTTTCTCCTCCAAGATTTTTTTTTTTTTTTTTTGATGTTTTCTTGCTCTTGTTGCTTAGGCTGCAGTGCAATGGCACAGTCTCAGCTCACTGCAGCCTCCGCCTCCCGGATTCAAGCAATTCTCCTGCCTCAGCCTCCCAGGTAGCTCCTGTGCCACCATGCCTGGCAAATTTTTGTATTTCTAGTAGAGACAGGGTTTCGCCACGTTGGCCAGGCTGGTCTCGAACTCCTGACCTCATGACTGCCCACCTTGGCCTTCCAAAGTGCTAGGATTACAGGAGTGAGCCACTGTGCCCGGCCTCCATCAAGATATTTAAAAAAATATTCCAATAATCGTTATACGTTTCTTGTGGCATCTTTTTGTCTCGGCTAAATTTAATACTCAACTATAGCAATCTTTCTGAGACAGGGTCTCACTAACCTTGCCCAGGCTGGTACAGTGTGGTACAATCTCGGCTCACCACAACTTCCACCTCCTAGGCTATCCTCGCATATCAGCCTCCTGAGTACCTGGAACTGCAGGCATGCAACCCACGCCCGGCTAATTTTTTGTTTAATTTTTGTAGAGACAATGTCTCACTGTGTTGCTCAGGCTGGTCTCAAACTCCTGGGCTCAAATGATCCACCTGCCTTGGCCTCCCAAAATGCCTGTATTACAGGTATGAGTCACCGTGCCCGGCCAGTTATAGCAATTTTCTTAACATTTGGTTAAGCAGTCAATAAATGCTAGTTAATCTTTCTATTTACAAATATTATCAAAGTTAGCAGATAACTAGACAGAGGAAATCAAGTGAAGCAAATGACAATTTGACTACTAATACGTCTTAATTTGCTCAAGTTGAATACATTTCAATGTATTAAAATCGATTTTCATCTTGGTTTTAAAGGTCTCTGGTGAAAGACCCCAGACAGATGTGAAAATGTTTCTAAGTAAAGTTAGTGCTGGGCATAAGTTCTCAGATCTGATGGGTGAACTCACTTAGACCCCAGCAACTGCAGGAGCAAAGCCACTTACAAAATTACAGTACACTCTGCATTTAGAATAAAGACATTCTTAGGGACACATAAATAAAATCACACTGTTCTCTATAGTTAGACTGCCTTTAGCATTCTTACTGGTGAATGTTCTACTAAGGAAGACAGATTAAACCATCTGTTTAGACGGCAAGATATTCCTTCAGCAGTGAGTTGGGAATCCTTCCTGCCACCTTTTCACAAAGAACAGAATATCATTCTGTGTCCTACTGGTATACACGTTATAAAAGATTATTTCACTTCCTTACACATGCTCAATGGGTGTTTCCAAGTTTCCAGAAATGTTTTCTTCTTCCTAAGAAAATGAGTTCTTATCCATCTTAAATATTTTCTTACCAATTCATTGAGGCTATCAAAACAACGAAATGAATCATTGAAGAAACGCTTCTACACAGACAGAAAAACCCCTATAATTCTTGCTGATCAGAGTTCTTTTTCAGAGGAAATTTCAAAATCCAGGTTAGTCCACAGAGTACTCCTAAGATCTCAAGGGCTATTAATTTAAAAATACATAAAGTCAACACAATGTGCTTCAGCCCCTCCTACAGGACTCTGGCTCATTTGTTTGTAAACACATTTTATCTGCTATTCTCAAGTTAGCATATCTTTGCATTATTGTCATTGTAGTATCATTTTGTTTATGATTTTTTAAATTTTTCCACACACAAAAATATTTGATGTACGCCACTAATTTTTTGTGTTGGCCAAAGCATTTCACAAAGACACACACACACACACACACACGGAAATGCTACTTTTTGTCATACAT